CCCCCCCCCCCAAGCGAATATGGCCTCCGAACGACTCGAATCTAGTCAAAATCAACTTAATAACATCAAATAATGCCATAGGAAATAACTTCAAATAATAAAGCTTCGATGTTTATCAAAATCAAAAGGTTAACCCCGGGCCCGCACCCCGGAACCCAAAAAACTCATAAATTCTAAACACCCATTCAATTACGAGTCCAACTATACCAAAATCATCCAATTCTGACCCGCAAATCGACCTTCAAATCTTAAAATTTCATTTAGAAAAGTTTTTACTAAAATTTTCAATTTCTCCCATTCAAATCAACAATTAAATTATAAAAACAAAGATGGAATCATAAAAAAATGGACAAATCCGAGTCAAAAATACTTACCCCGGTCCACATCGTGAAAATTCCCTCAAATATCACCCAAAACCGAGATCTCTAACTCAAAATATGATATAATAACTCAAACGCTCGAAATAGAGTTTTAAAACAATCTGCCCAAGCATTACCCTTCGCGATCGCGGAAATGCCTCCGCGATAGCGAAGAACAAAATTCACCAGCTGCCCATTACTCCTACGCGAACGCAACGTCCAAGTTGCGAACGCGATGATCAAACGACCCCATGCCTATGGAAATACGGAAAGCCCTACGCAATCGCGAAGGCTTACGGCTTGAAGCCCCCGGCCGCACTCCCTTCTATGCGAATGCGTCCATCCTAGTGCGATCGCCATGACCACTACACCCAAATCATCGCGAACACGGTCACCGCTCCACGAATGCGAAGAACAACCCGCCTACCATCAAAATCACTCTACACAATCGCGAAGAAGGAAACCAGAAATGAGAACCAACAGTTCGAAAACATGGAGAAATGGCCCGAAACCATTCGAGGCCCCGAGGCCCCATCCAATAACACCAACCAATCGCAAAACAGTATAAGAACCTACTCGAGGTCTCAAATCACACAAAACAACATCAAACCTACGAATCACACCATAATTCAAGCCTAATAAAACTAATGA